ATGGACACAGACACATGGTGCTTCTGGAAAATTACTTTGTCTAAGGATGGCTGAAACCATCCCAGGTGCTCATCTTTCAGTGTTGACTTTGCCATGTTCACCTTGAGAAGTAGGTTTATGTTCCTTCTCCTTGAATCTGGGCCAGCTTTTGTCTTAAGTGAAGTAATCCCAGGTGATTTGTGAGGCTAGGTCATAAAATGTAACATAGTTTTCTCCTGGTTCTCTTGGGATGCTTGTTCTTAGAACCCAACCACCATGTTGTAGGGAAGCCCAAGCAGCCACATGGAGAAACTACATCCAGGTGCTTCAGCAAACAGTCTAGTTGAGGTCCTGGCTGGTAGGCATCATCATCTACCAGATATAGAGCCAATGAGCCTTCAAATTTGAGTCATCCCAGGTGAGGCCCAAACAGAAACAAACCATCCCCACTGTGCCCTTTCTGATTTGCTAACCAATAGAAGCCATACAAATAATAAAATAGTGGTTTTTCTAAGCCCAAGAATGTGGGATGGTCTGCTTGCCAGCAGCATTCTCTGTTTATTAGAAATTCAAACTCTCAGGCCTCGCCTTGTATCTATCAAATCAGACTGCATTTTATTAAAATCCCTAGGTAATATTTATGTGCATTTAAGTTTAAGAGGCTCTGACACAGGACATTACAAAGCTCCTGTTTCTTTCTTGATAGGAAGGTTGTATCTGATTGAATGATGGGATATCTCAAGCAGTTTGGCCTCCTTGCTCTCTCTTGAACCCAACTGATTCCAATCCAGACTGATTAGATCTCTAAAGATGCAGACTTAGCACTACCCAGTCTTGGCTTACCTGGGGAAACACTTGGAGGCCAAGTTGAGTGTTCCAATAATGTGTTATGCGGCTTCCTTTTCTTGGGAAAAGAGGCAGGACAATAGAGCCTGGAAGCACTTGGACTCCAGAGTTGTCCTACTTGGGCTCAGCTCCTGGCTCCACGACTTAAGGTTTGTGAATTTGGATGAGCTGCTTATCTTCTCTATGCCTCAGTTTCCCGTTCATAAAGATGAGAACACTAGTGGTTACTTCCTAGGAGTAAATGAGTTAATATATGTAAACTACCTAAAATATGCCACTTAGCAAGAGCCATATGTTGGTTTTTCCTCACTCTTCTGGAACTCCCAAATCAAATTCGTTTCTAGGAGTTTCCCAAGACCCTATATATTCTGGGATCAGAGGGGACACCCTGACCATGGTTCCAGGTGACAAGCATAGTCACTCGTCTACTGTCACATTCCAGCAGTCAGAACAGCACTGGCATCAGAAGGAAGAGCAGGGGGAAGGGGCTGACCTTGGCTGAAAGCATTGGATCCTCTGACATGTGATTCTTTATTGTCTGTCACTAAAGTTTTTGTTCAGTCATCACAGAACTTTAAAGAAAGGCACATACGGTTAAGTACATCAAGTTTCAGAACCATTCTGAATACAACACGAGGGGCAGGATGCCGAGAAACTTTAAACCCCATCACATCAAGGCCACACTGCTTTTATTTTATTTTATTTTTTAAGGTTTTCTTCGAACCAACTGTGTTTCCATTCTGGTCCTCTCTGGGAGCCCCACAGTCTATGGGCTGACTTAGAAATTTATAAATAAATATTGTGTTTTAAAAATCATTATATTGAAGTTGAAAATTGTAATTTGGTCTTGATAGGAGACATTGAAGCATAATTCATCTTCTTACTAAATGAGCATCTGTGGAGTTTGCAATATGGCCTTTTAAGTTTTCTATATGAGCCAGCAATTAAGTCTCAAAGTTCAAAATTTCTTAAAGTTCGTTTTATTTATTCCCTCATCCAATTTTAAAATATGCTAAATTATCGTTAGAAAAATGGAAGGAAGCCAAGGATAATTTAATGAAAAGTCTAAACTCACTTGAAAATGATTTTTAATTTCAAATATAATGCATGTGATGAACTAAGAGATGGCATAAATGAATATAAAATGCAAATTAACCAACAATGAAAAATGTATTATTCTGCAGTAAACCAATCATTCAGAACATGTCACAAACCTTATAAAAAACTAACTGAAGAGCCTAAAGGCAAGAGCACATAGAAAAAATATTTCCAATAAACCCTTGGTTTGAAACATACTCCTTCAAAAATAAAACTGTTCCTAATGTTTTACTTTATAAGAAGAACATTTATTATATCACCTTTTGGTTTGAATTATAGGAGTAAGAATCATGCAATTGCAGTACAGTAAAACCTCACTTAATGTCATCAACAGGTTTTGCGATTTTAAGGGAAATGACATATAACAAAACCAATTCTACTATAAACTAATTGATATAAAGAGTTACGTTCCTACAGGATCCCATCAATCTTATAACAACTGAATGAAAGGACATTATGTCAGGACCTGCTGTACTAAAAACGTGATTATGGAGGTTATCTTTCTTCAAATGAGGAACTGAGGTCCCACAGAGACAAAATGGTATCAGGGACCCAGGGTCTAAGCCAGTCTCTGAAGGATGATATCAGAAGTAATGGAAGACTCGAGGTCACACCTAAGTATATAAAAATAGCCTCATCTGGGTTCCTCAAGAATTGGGCCTGGTCTTTGTCAATTAGCAGCATACTGCAGTGACAAAATTGACTATAATGATACTTCTTAGTCCCATCTGGCAATCAGGAGACTGCTGTATAACAGATGATGCACATTTTGCTTTGATTCAGTTGGTGCCTGATGAGGGTTTCATTGACTCAAGGTCTCCATTACCAAGAGAGATTTAACACAAGGGGCAAATGTTAGACTGAATGGTTGCCTTCTCGATCCTCATTGACCACTATGTGTCATATGTTTGCCAGTTTTCTTCTTTAACTATAAAGAAATCCTAATGTGAGGACAGTAACATATTTTTTTCATAGAGAGCCAAAGAAACAAAATGCTTAGCGCAAGCTCTCTGGTCACATGGCTGAGATTTAAATCTCAGCTCTACCACTTACTAGCAGAGTGATCTTGTTTAAGTTATGTAATATCTCTGTGCTTATTTTATGGATTGTAAAATTAAGATAATTATAGTATATCACATGGGGTTGTTATTCAGTGAAAAAAAATTACTAAAAGAGTAAACATTAATCCTGTTAGTAATCAGACTCCAGTGTAATTTATAATGGAATGTCAACACACTGTTTCTAACAGAGCTTACCCAACCCACACCACGGGTACAAAATGACAATCAGTTACTTCTTCTGGATGACCTCTGTTTTCTTACCAACATCATCCCTAGTCTTATTTTGTCCTTCTTTCTTCTAGAACACAATTATCAAGATGCCCAATTGCTGTTCTGTTCTTGCTTTTTAATAGCCTTTATTTCAAAACAAGTCCCTGATTCACGTATGCCCACCTTAAAGTCACCCAGAATAAGTCCAAATCTTATAACAAGTCCCTCCTTTAGGTGTAGACACTTCTTTCTGCAACAAGCCAATTAAACTTTAACCTTGTTTGAATTCAGGTGTGCTCCTGGCGGTCTTTCAATGTTGAGCTTCCATAATACTGAGCACATGTTATAGCGCACTATATGCATAAGAAATGCTGACTATTGGCAATAGTAGGCAAGTACTTTTTTACCCTAGCTTCTTCAAGTAGCACACCTCAAGACATTGTTCAATGAAGGGCAATTTTTATGTAACTGGGAAGCCAGTTAGCATGGCTAACATGAAGAGATGTGATTTTCCCCCCCTACAGGTTTTAATGTGTCATTTAAAAGTCCCCCGGGAAACTGCAACAGCAATAGGTGAAATGGAAGAGCAAGCAAAGCAAAGATTTTGAGTCCACTGAAGTCCAAATAGTAACCCCGAATTGACCATATTCTGGATCTTTTAAGCCAGGCTAGCCAGATAGCTATAAAAAAGAGGGTGCTAAAATAGCTTAAAGTTTTTTTTAAGTTCTTATTTCCAAATGTCTACAAATATCCATTTGACAAATTGGGAAACAGACTCTGGAGTGGAATGAATGCCTACGGCACACACAGGGTGATTAGGCTGGGTCTGGAACCAAAGACAGAACTTTGTACAGAATGTGGATTAGCTACTTATTGCTGTTCAAATTGCCCTACAATTTAGTGGCTCAAAATAAGAGTAATCACTTATCCTTTTTGGCAGTATCTTTTGTTAGGAACCCTGAAGTTCCTTGGCTGGGTAGTTCAGGCTCAAGTTCCTTCATGGGTTGCAGTCATATGAAGGGTTGCTGGGGCTGGAGGATCCACTTGCTAGGTAGCTCACTCCTGGCTAAAAAAATTGGTCCCTCATCACATGAGCCTCTTTACAGGGCTGTTGGAGTGTCTGCAGGATGTAATCACCGGCTTTCCCATTGGGGAACAATCCACTCGACAAAGATAGAAGTAGCAATACCTTTTATGACCCAAGCCTGGAAGTCACACACCATCACCTTAATCATATTATCTTTGCTAAAACGTGCCAGCCCTGTTTCCACCTGCTAGATGTGTTATTTGGGACCAGCAAAAAATTCTAAGTTTGTATTCCTTCATGCATAATATAAAAATAATGCCTTCGTTTTAGCCTGTTGGAACATAAACCACTATAAGACAATCAAGCTCTGCTTAGTATAATAATTGCTAAGCCCGCATTATTTAGAAGTGATTTCACTTCCTTAAGAATCCTGTTTCTAATACGCCTCATTCTTCTAAAGCTGAAACTCATACTTTTCCCCCGAACCCCCTGGAGAGAGAATCAGTCCCTGGCCTCCCCACACCAATTCCTGCACAAAGTAAGACTATTTCGGAGGCGGAACTATAGTTCCGGGGGCTGACACGTGACCGGAGCGCATTTCAGGACGGACCGGAAGAGGCTCCTGCGGCTATTTCCGCCCCGGAGGGCAAAGGCAGACAGCAGGCGGGACGGCTCCGGGAGCGTTCCGGTGCACGCGTAACAGCAGCGTGGAGACTCCCTGAAAGCAGAGCGGAGGGTCCCCCGAAAGTGTAGCGACCCGAGACCTGCCCGGCTCCTCCATGCTTGGCTGGAGGCGGCTGGCTCTGGCCGGCTCCCAGGTGCTGCGCCGCGGCGCCGGGGGCCTGGATGCTGCCGGGCGCTTCGGGAACAGGTGAGTGCAGGCGAGAGACAGGGTGCATGTGTGTTGGGGGGGGGGGGGGGGGAGGGGAGAAGAGAGGGGGGACGCGAAGGGTGTAATCCCTGCCAAACTACCGCTTGGAACAATGACAAGACCAGGTACAGAGCGTTCTGCCCTGAGAGGAAGAGGAAGGGGCTGTGTCCAGACCTGAAGTATAGAGGAGTAAAGGAGCGTTTCTCTAAGGAAGCCGGTTCAAGGACCGAAGGGCTGATTTTTGTTTTTGTTTGTTTTTAATTCGTATAGCGACTGGCCCCGAGCATTACCAACAGCTGCGGTAGTGTAATCAAACGCCAGTTGGTGAGCGTTTTTCTGAGTACGAGATGCTCTGTTAAGTGTATCAGGCGCCTAAGCCTCACGTGAGCTAAATCATTCTCTTTTACAGAAACTAGAATTCCGTTTTGCAGATAAAACGGAGGCTTGAACAGGAGAAGTAACTTGCCCGTGGCCATTCAATTAATAAGTGCAAATTGGGACTCTCATTTGAATAATCTATCAGACTAAAAGAGGATAGCCTACAGAGAGCTTTACTTTTCTGACACCTCGTGTAAGACTTACAGACCTCAGTCCCTAAGGGCTTTCCTGGTGTTCTCAGCTGATCAGAGGTCATGTCTTCACACATGCAGGGTCCTCAGATTCTGAGCCTAGGCCATGTCATTGCAGGGAAGAGAGGAGCGTATCAGAGAAAGATTGGCATTCCGTATTCTGCCACTTCTACTGGCTATGGATCATTAAGGTTTACATACAATTGGCTTCTCCTGTGTCTAGGGAGGATTTACTCTGTTAGCAATCTATTTACCCCAGAAGAGAAGACGAAGAACTTTTTCTTTAGGATAACTATTAACATTTAAAACGTGAGCCCCATTATTATCATAAGGAATGTCAGGAGAAAAACGTGCCCAGAATGAAAGCCCTTTCCTAACGCACTGATGACACTTTCCAATGCATGTGACCTCTCTTTTCTGTGTTAGCTGGAGAAACTTTTGAACTGTGGTTGGTTCTTTCAATTTTTGTTCTTACAGAACAGACATCTGGCTGTTAGTTAGAAGTCTCCATGGCAAGAGTGGCACTTGGTGGGATGAGCATCTTTCTGAAGAAAATGCTGAGTTTGTTAAGCAGATGGTCTCCGAAGAAAATAAAGCTCAATTAGCAAGTAAATTGTGCCCTCTGAAAGATGAACCGTGGCCTATACATCCTTGGGAGCCAGGTGGTTATTTTGTATATGATGCGTTCTCTTAATTACTTGGTGGCTGGCACATTCAAAATGACAGTGACTGCTTGATAAATTTATCATCTCTGGAATTTATTGTTCATGTCTTAAGTGGGTCTGTTTCCTTGTGGTTTGGTTTGCATGTTGATTACCAGCATCCTATTCTGCTGTTAGTGAATGTCTGATAATAATCAAGACTTACTAATAAAAGCTGTTTTGTATGTGAAATGAGAATCATTCTGCATACATTTTCTTGTTTCCTTTAGATAAAAAAAAAAAAAAAAAAAAAAAAAAAAAAAAAAAAAAAAAAACTATAAAAATAAATCGGGGGGAAAAATCTGGAAGAGTATGATCTAAATTGTGTTACACAGATGTCTCCAGTTTGGATGTTCTAGCATTCTAGGCTTGCCAATGGCAACTCTAGAGTCAGCTCTGTGTGCCTGGTAGAGTGCTAAACTGACCTGTGGACAGATCAAGAAGAATAAGGCCCTTCCTATTGAGAAAGTAGCTCTGGTTGGGGTTTATTATAAACAGTAGAATTGCACAGTGGAGCAACTTTTATCAATTTATACAACAAATCTAAGTGTCACAGGGAACGCCAACATATTTTAGCAATATGACCACTTGTGTTATCCTTGTAACCCTGCTAACTTTGGAATTAGATGTGATGTTTGAATTTATACTAGGAAAGCAAAGTATAATTAGGGATTTATCGTGCTTTCTATTAATTCCGCTATTTGAAAACCAGAATTAGCCCAGCCTGTGTTGCATAGTGGTTGAGTGTTGACCTATGAACCAAGAAGTTGCTAGTCTGATTTCCAGTCAGGGCACATGGCTGGGTTTCGGGTTGTTCCCCAGTAGGGGGCATGCTGGAGGCAGCCCATCGATGCTTCCCTCTCTCCCTAAAACCAGTAAAAACATACTTTTAAAAAGAACCACAATATATCCATTTAACTATTTTCTTTTGTTGTGTCGTTCTTACATTTGTTCAGTATATGGAAATGTATCGAGTACCAATGACTTATGTTGGGCATGGTTGAAGATGCTTACATCTTTAGGGAACATTTGTGTTTCACTCTGAATATATTAGCATGTTTATTTGCCTGCTCCTTATTTTGAAACCATGATTCAGGAAGTACTGTTGAATCGCATTGGCAAAGTTGGAAAAGCTGTGTTAATATTCGTTTCTTTTTAATTGCCAGGTTCCTGTAGAGTAGGCCTTGTCGCAGTGAAGCTGGGAATGATGCCTTTATGGACCAAAGATGGTCAAAAGCATGTGACCACATTACTTCAGGTAAGAAACAGCAGTTAAAACAGACCTGTATGTGTGCCAAGATCTATTTGTGCCAACCTAAATGGCAACATTTGTGTCCTGAACTATTTAACTGTGTGGTGAAGAATAAGTTAATGTTGAGTATAAATGCTATTAAAGAACTTCTGATGGTTTTGGAGAATGTTCTCACTCTTGCCTGAGTGGCGGCCTTCCTAGCAATGGCATGGGGTAACTGGGACAATTAAAAAAAGATTGTAAGGATTGTAGCCTAGCTTCTCACAGATCTAGTTTAATTCATAATCAGAAGAAGTCTCAGTTCCATCTTGTTTTCATTATGAAGTTCTAACAACTCCAAAATAACTTTTCTCTCTTTGCTAACTTAGGATGTTATACGCTTGTTAGGGGAAACAGCATTTTGTTCTCTGAGATGAACTCCTCTACTGTTTAATAATGTGGGCCCTGGGATCAGAATACCTGAATTCAGGTCTTGGTTCTGCCACTTCTTAACTGTGTTCTTTGCAGCACTGTATCCCATCTATCAAATATATACTACCTTTTAAGTGAAATAATTATGACCTACCTCAAAAGGGTATTGTGAGGATTGCATGAGATATAAATGTCAAGCACTTAAAAGGTAAAACAGTGTTAAATTGTCCAATAAATGTCGGCTGCTGTTGTCTTTCTCATTATTTTTATAAAAAGATCCCTGAAAAATAGGAGACCATCATTCCCCAAATCACTTTGGACAACTCAGTTTATCTTTGTGGCCCAGCCTTAGATAACGGCTTAGGCAGGTGGTGGCAATTAAAATAAGAGCTCATGCACATAAGTGCTTATGTGCTAATAAGCAGAAGGAGCCTCCCAGCCCTTAGTGAATTTTTATTGACTAATTGATCAAGGATAAGATTATAGTTTCTAGAACTCAAAGGAACTTTGGGAACTTTCAGTAATGACTGGTGGGAATGTAAATCAGGATAGCCAGTTCAGAAAATAATTTAGCCTTATGTAGTAAAGTTGAGATAAGTGAACCTTGTAATCTATTCCATTTGTGAGGGTTTCTAGAAGATTTAAACAAGTATGCACCAAGAAAACTGTACAACAGTAGTGTTCATAGCAGTATTACTCTTAATACTCCAAAACTAGAAATAACCCAAATGTCCATCAGCAGTAGAATGGGTAAATCGTGGTGTATTCACATAATGCAATGCTGGATAGCAGTGAGCTACATCCAACAACGTGGATGAACCTTACAAATGTAATCTTGAGGTAAAAGAGTAAGACATGGAAGACTACATTCAGACTGATTCCATTAATATAAAGTTTAAAGCAGACAGCACTCAACTACAGCATTAGTACATAGTACTTTCAAAGGTAATAATTATAAAGAAAAGTAATAAAGGAGTACCATCAATGTCAAAGGTATTGGTTATTTCTTGAGCAGCACACTTCAGTGTGACTGAGAATCACCTGGAAGGCTTCTAAATCACTGGTCAATGATCCTTGAGGTCTGAAAGAATGGCGACTGCTGTTCTAAATCACAAGCTACAGAGACCAGCTGGTCTCTGTGAGGCCTGAGCCTTCATTTTCCACCAAGTTCTCGGGATGCTGATGCTGCTGGTCTGGACCACACTGAGAACCACTGTTCTAGAAGTTTGAAAGAGAAAAAAGTTTGAAAGGTTGGGAGTTGATAGGGAAGAGAGACACAGGTTTTAGGGATTCTACTTCCTGACAATGGTAGTGCTTGGTTATAGGCGCCTCTCACCCACACCAGAGAGGTGTTACCGGACGGCCCCCTGAGTCTGTGGAAGACGGCTGTCCCCAACCTCGATCCGTGCCTTCTCATATAAATGAATTTTCACGAGAGACCTTGACTGGGTTGTGAAAAGCCAATTTATTAAAGAAATTAAAGTATGCACCTTTATTGAAAAAGCAAATCAAGCAAGCAAACCTATACATCTGGCTTATGACATGCAAATGGGCTCTCAGCTAATCTGAAGAGGGAATTGGGTGGGGGTCCAAGGCTTTATATACCCTCCTATCTACAGGCTTCAAAATTCCTCTGCTGACTACTTTGGTACAGATTAATTCTCAAGGTCTCTGGTTTTGTTTTGTTTTTTACTTTATTGTGGCCTTCCCAGAATTCATGAGAAGCACCTGGCAACTTTTATTTTGCCAAGCCTTGAGACTGCTGGCTTCTCTGTTAGGGAGTAAAACTGCCATTTTTTCCTTTCCTCTTTCTTTCTTCCTTCCTTTCTGCATTCTCTCATTAGGGAGGTGTTTTTTGTTTTGTTTTTTTGTTTTGTAACCATTTGCTCTTTGTCCTTGGCTGGAGAAAATAATCCCTTGTTAGTTACAAGCTGGCTGCAATTTGCCCACACTGTTTGGCCTTGTTTTAACTTTCCTCTCTGTTTCCCTATTCCTCCTGTCCTGGAGTCCTATAACAGTTATGTGCATATTTTCTTTAAAAATACTTACTTTGTTATATATTTGTGTTTTATGCACTTTTTTTTTATGGGTGTTATATTTGACATTTTATTCAAAGGTTATCTGTATTTTTTAAAAAATATATATTTTATTGATTTTTTACAGAGAGAAAGAGAGAGGGAGAGAGAGTTAGAAACATTGATGAGAGAGAAACACCAATCGGCTGCCTTCTACACACCTCCCACTGGGGTTGTGCCCACAACCAAGGCACATGCCCTTGATCAGAATCAAACCCCTGAGTCCGCAGGCTGATGCTCTATTCACTGAGCCAAACCAGTCAGGGTGGTTATCTGTATTTTAAGATTGTGATGGATGTTAGAGAAATGATGAAATAAATAACTTTAGTGACTGGTGTGTAATGTTGAAATCTATCTTGGCACAGACTTAGCTTTCTTTTCTTTTATGTTTGTGTTTTTTAGGTACAGGACTGTCATGTGCTACGATATACTCCAAAGGAAAATAATGATGGGAAAAATGCAACTCTCACTGTAGGAGGAAAAACCGTATCCCGTTTTTATGTAAGGATGTATTTTCATTCCTAGAATAGTACATTTTTTTAGTTTCAGACCCAAATCTTTAAGTTTTGAGCATATTCCATTGCCACAAATTTGTTTTGTTCATGAGATAAATGTGGGTGAGGGAGAGTCAGTCTAGGAGAGCCATTGAGCCCAGGAGTCTGTGAGTTTATTCCAGTATCTCTCCTCACTATCTGGAACAAGTAACTACCCTGTAAGCTGCAGTATTTGCCCATCTGTAAAATGGGGATGATAGTGCTGCTGATGTAAGAGGTTTGTTATCAGGATTACATGAGAATTTTCAAATGTACCTGGCATGTAACAGACGGTAATACTTTTTTTTGTTTGTTATTTTCTTGGGTTTTTAAAATGTTTTTCTTTCTAAATTGTTTCAACAATTGACACCAACAGTATGTAAAAGTTAATTTTGTGTATGTTATTATTTTTTTAATTCTTGCCCGAGATATGTTTTTATTGATTTGAGAGTGGGGGGTTGAAAGAAACATTTATGTGAAAGAAATATCGATTGGTTGCCTCCTGTACACACCTGACCAGGTATCAAACCAACAAGCTGAATGAGTGTGTGCCATGACTGGGAATCGAACCCTGGACCTTTCAGTGTACAGGACAATGCTCCAACCAACTGAGCCACACCAGCCAGGGCAATTTTCTATTAGAATGAGCTTTCATTATTTGGGGAAAAGTTGTATACAAAACATCAGAATTTTTCAAACGAAGCATTTCCCCCCAAAAAAGAATACTAATAAATGCTGAGTATATAGTTTAAATTTGAAAAATCTGCATAATTTGTATCTTTAATTGGATGACAAAAAGCAGAGAACACCTTTTTAGAAATAGTGGTGGTTTTTTCTAATGAATACAAAACTCCTTTAGGTTTACTAAAACATTGCTAATCTTTAAGACAAATATTTTTCTGTTGTAAATTGTTTATGAAGTGAACATGGATGGAAATTAGGATACAACCTGTATTATGCAAGTGTTTGTTGTTTCTTTGTCATAGGTAACTTCTGTTAAGCACTTATTATATGCCAAGTACATAAGCATTAAGCCTTTACATTTATTAAGTGATCTTTTCAGCTTGTGAGCTAAAGAGAGTTAGTAATTCATTCAGGGGTCCCCACTGGTAAGAGGTAGAGTGACTAGCAGACTCCAGAGCCTCACTTTCTTAACTGGGCCTTAATGTCCACCCCCTAGCAACACATAAGTGAATGGGAAGATGGACACAAATCTGCCATCTCAATATAGTATCATAAAAGCAACAAGCACAGAGTGTGGATGGCCACTTCAGGTTGACAGAGGGTTCACAACAAGGAGACCAGAAAGGAGAATGTGTTAAAGGCATAGCAGAGGGAAAAGTCTGTAGAATGTGGAAGAGTATGTAGAACGTGCTTGGAAAGAGAAGTGTGGTGTATCTCAATCTTAGTGTGTGGGTGTGGGGCCAGTGGGTGCTACTGTCAGGGTGGAAAGCTAAGGAGTTTCGACTTCACCTTGTAGACTTCAAGGAGCTCTCCTAATTCTTTAACCAGGATAGATGCTTATCATTTACTTAACAAGGTAACAATTTGACAAGTCTTATAATTTATTCTTATCAAATAAATGATAAAAATCTGGGTGGAGGGAGGACTTTTAGGAGTTTGGTTTAAGCACTAGGGGAGAGTTGATAAAGGTTTTTGAAGCCGGGGGCGGTTGGATTGGGTTTGGAAGGAGCTGGGATCTGTGAAAGGCTGGGTGAGTGAGGATGTGTGGTTAGAGGGCCAGGCACAGAGCAGTTTCTAACTAAGCAACTAGGTCAGTGCTTATGCTGTAACCTGGACTAGGGACAAAGAAAGGGAAACAGCAAAGGTATGTTTGAAGTGTTTAGAGAAAATCTAAGTGGAGTTGTCTCATAAGTATTAGAGAAGTTGGCTATTTTTCATCGAAGATTTAGAACTATTAATTCTTGACAATTTATTGACTAATAATTCCACAGTAATTAAAAGCACAGTGAGGTATTTATTGAAACTTCTTTTTAAATGTCAAATGTTTGAAGTTTTAGCTGTGACATGTTAGCCTTTATGTCAATCATGTGAATAATTACTGGGTTTAATAGATTCCACTGTTTTCTAATTGATTGTATTGCTGTACCATCATTTTTCTTTTTATTTTATTATTGTAAATTCACATCTTTACGGGCTTAATATGTGCAAATCAAGCTTCATGTTGGAATAATCCATTCTGCTTCAACAAATCTGTGGACATTACTTCCTCACCACTATGAGATGGAGGAAAAATGAGTGAACATAGGGTCAGAAGAACGAGTTCTAATCCTGATCTCTACCATTAGCTCCTTCTCTCCACCTTTTTGAACATCCATTTTCTTTTTTTCTAACATCCATTTTCTTATCCATGAAAACAGGATACTGATAATGGCCTTGATGGTCTCCAAATTCTCTCCCAGTTCTAAAAGTCTCATATTGTTTTTCTAATATTTTAGTTTTCAAGAAAAAAACAAAAGTTCTAAACTAAGAAAAGTACTTGCCAGCTCATTTTACTATTTTACTTAGTGATGATGACTTATACATAAAATTTTGTAATGTAATACTAATAACTAAAATGTTACAGAAGTGCTTTTATTCCACAACATCAATTTTTAAAATAACTTACTTTTCTAGTATAGAAAGTGCTACAGAGGGCCTTCTTATTCTTCAAGATATAAATTTTCTAGATCTACGGGACATGTATTAGTATATTAAGGAAAAAACTTTGTCTCTGAATGACCTCTCTTCAGAATGGTATGTGAAAGAGGAGTTTTAGAATTCTTGATTAGTAAACCATTTTGATTCAGAAAGGGGGAAAAATTGTAAACTAGAAGTATATAAACTTCTTGCATATTATAACCCTTAGGGAAATTGCAAGTAGATTGATATAGAAGGTTTTTAAAGAGAGAGAAAGACCTCTGAATATAAAATATCAAATAGTTAAGCATTCTAAAATAAATTGATTGAATCAGTTCGTTTATAATAGGGCTAGAACTGTTGTTTTTTTAAGCTGTAAAAGGTTTATGCCTCCAAGAAATTTGAGTCACTTTGCTTTTGTTATTTTTGTGTCTTATTATACATAAAAGCTGATGTGATATGTAGTATTTTTGAATCAGGAAGTTAAGTAGCCTCAGTGTTGATTAAACCAATTCATCTTGGGAGCAGAGAAGCATTTTCATTGTGAGAGGATAATTGCAGAAAACTTTGAAGGCAGAGGGAATGCAATCTCAGAGATGGGATTATCCAAGTGTGACACTGCTGTCAGTCTTTTAAATTGCCTTTGAAATTATTTATTTAGAAGTGTTTTTTTTAAAAAAAAATACCTCTGTTCCACTGTTGCTGGTTTCAACTCAACTTGAACATTTAGTTTTTCTCACGGCCGATATTTTGATTTTTAAAAGAAAAAAATTGAAGTACTCAATTTTAGTGAATTAGGAAGATAATGGAAAAGTACATATTACATTTTTTTCTTTTTATGTTGTAGTCTATAGTTATTTAGATAAAATTGTTTATCTTGTCTATTTTGTATTACTGGAAAAGGATAGAATTTTTCTCAGAAGCCTGCTGGCATACTTAAAAACTGATAATTGATAAAATAGTATGCTTTCTAAATTGCCAGGTGGAATATGTGAATGTTAAAAGTTAAATTAAAGTCTGTTTTAAAATGTGATATATCTGAATCTGACTCATCAGGAAAATAATGTCAAGGAGCCACATTTTTAAATGAGAGTCTTTGTGTTTGCTTTTGTTATGGAACAAGTGAGTGTGATTAAGACAGAAAGCCGGGCCTTGGGAAGAGTGGTGCGGCATATTAGCCTGAGGTTTCAATGAGTGGGAAGGGAAAGCATAACAAATCACTGGAGTGAGTTTATGTTCTCCCTCTGTTGGAGAAAAGGGTAGCTTCTTGAGGAAACTGAGGCAAAAACAGCCTTCCATGGACATGGAAACAGAGCTGCTCAGCCTGTATAGTCCCACCTGAGGGCCCCAGGGAGATTCCCATGAGTGTGGGCTGCTCCAAAAATTAAAGTTCTCTGTTTACAGGCCAGTGCCACCTAATGACATGTCCACAGAAGTCAGCCACTCAGTAAATGAGAAAGCGATACTAACAGTGCACATTTTAAATTGAAGTAGCATGTACCTAACGTTTACTACATAATCAGATAAGCCTGGCTGTGCATGTCTTCATTGCATTTGGGAGAAATGATGCTTTGTTTCAGTACATCATCAGTGTCATCTTGAGCTGCTAGGGTTTTTCAGTTGCTGCTATTCTTGGTTTGATTTTTTTGTTTATTTGTTTTATTACAAATTGCTGTTGGTTTGGTTTTATAGTAGCTTAGTTTCTTATAGATTTGTTCATCCTCAGAGTAAGTCATGGTGTTTATTTTAGACTTGTAAGTTTTTAATAACTTGAAATGAAGGATAGAGGCCACACACTGTCAGGCCACAAACACAGGAATGTTGTCTGCCAAGAATTAATGCAGCAGCAGGAAGAGGGAAAGGTGGGGTGTCTTGAAGAGACAATCAGGACTTCACACCCAGACAGATGTCTGTCCTCTATCTTCTGAGTCTTCACCATTCATTTCGCTCACTTTGCAGTGTCTAACCTGCTACTGTCGTTAGCTCTAAAGTGACACAGGGGAATAAAGCAGCCCCTATAATCCAGGGACTCACAGACTAGCAGGCAGACAGATATGTAAGTTAAATACTAGTAAATGGAGGGTCTAGAGGTGGCAGAGGTGGAAGAGCAGTCTGCTTTGACAAGGCTACCAGGGAGGGATCCAGACAGGAAATGTCCTGTAGCTGGTACTAAACAGATAAATAACAGATTTTTAATGAGATTTGGAGGTACAAGGTGGAGAGGAAATTATAGACCAGAGACTGTCACAGGCAGACACAGGTAAGCATCCATAGAATAATGTGGCCCATCGAGAGCCTGCTGGAGCTTCATTTGTGATTAGAAGGGAAGTTGAGGGAGCAGAAACAGCAGGTAGATAGATATACCTGCATTGCCTATATTCTCATGAAAGAGGCATTCTTTACATCAGGAAATATAAAATGGTACAGTTTGTCTTACAGAAATCTATATCAACAGTCTTAATTTTAAAAAGACCCGGGACATTAAGGAAGTAAGATGTCCTTAAAGTTATTTATTCAGGGATACTTATAATAGCAGAAAAACAAAGACAGGGGTGCAGGGAGAAGCAGCCAGCAGGAGCTGCAGACATAGCAACTAAAGTCTCTGCTCTCAAGAAGCTTACATTTTGATGGGATTGGGGGTAAAATAGGGAGACTGTTGCGTAGAAAAAACAACTGTAAATCATGACAGATGGCGAGAAGTACTTTGAGGACTGATAAAGAAGTCTGGAGGGATTGTTAGTGACAGAAAGCGATGCTGTTTTAGGTAGGGAAGGTGAGTTGATGTTTGGATAGAGACCTGAATAAAGTGAGGGAACAAGTCATGCAAAAATCTGGCAGAAAAGCATTCAGGCAGGAGGAACGGAATGTGCAAAAAGGACCTGAGGCCACTGTTTAATGTGTTCTTGGACTAGTAAGGAATGACGCAGGGTGAGCCCAGAGAAGAGCAGTAGATGAAGGCGGTATAGAACCTTGTAAACCATGGTAAGGACTTGGGACTTGATTCTGCACTAGATGGAAGCCATTGCAGAGACATGAAATAGCTTGTGTTTTAAAAGGAACATGCCAGCCTGTGAATAGCAAACAGACCATGGGTCAGGAATGTGGAATTTTGGAGACTAGTTTAAGAGTCTGTTGAAATAATCTAAGCAAAAGATGGTTGGGTGGAGTGGGGGTGAGAAGTAGTTGATGTAGGCTATACTTTCAAATAAAGTCTACAGGAATTGCCGATGAATGGGATATGGGATGTAAGAAGAGAGTCAAAGTGACCACGAGATTTTTGGTCCAACAACATAAGTATTGAGATTTGGAAGACAAAGGAAAGCAGGCTTGTTGAGGAAGGGGGGAATCAAGTTCAATTTTAGACCAGTTAAAATTGATGTTCCTGTATGACATCAACGTGAGATATTGAGTTGGCAAAAACCTAATGTTTCTAGGTTATTAGAACTACTAGGAATTTGGAGTTCAGAGTAGAATTTGGGATTGAAGTTACAAATGTGGGGTTGGTAGCATATGAAGGAACCAAGAGAGTAGTGACTGGAAGCCAAGTGAAAGTCTTTCAAGGAAAGATGTGACATGGTCATCTGTGTCAGGCATTACTGATGGAGCCAATAAAACTAGTATTGATGTGTGTATTTGACCACATGGAGACACTGGTGATCTTGACACTTCCCATTGAGTAGTAGAAGATGAAAGCACCTGATTAAAGTCAGTGTGAGAGAAAATAGACTCAGCAAGTCTTTCAGTGGTGTGGTTGTAAGGGGGATCAGGATGATTACCTAAAGGAGACTGGCTAAGGAAAAGTTCTGTTTCAATGTATGAGTTATGATATCTTTGTATACCAACAGGAACATTTCAGTAGCAAGAGGGCAATTAGTGTTTCAGAAGACAATGGGGACAATTTCAGGAGTAAAGCTATTGAATAGATGAGAGAGGTTAGGAGTACACAGTGAAGGAGATGGCTTTTAATTAGAGCATGGACGTTTCATCTGTCATTGTGATTCCCAGCCCTTTTCACATCACAGTCTGTGGAGTGCTTTAAAATACACACACACACACACACACACACACACACACACACACACACACACACGCTTGGATGCCACATTAGACCCGTGAGGCTATAGTCTCCAAGCTGAGGCCTGGGCATCGGCATTTTCTGCATGCTCCCCACACGCATCTCAGGCAACTGGAGTGAGGGTGGCAGGAGGATAGAATATAACGGCTGGTACAGACACTTATATGGACTAGGCAATAAGTGTGAGGAAGTACTCTTGATTCTTCTGTATTTTTTCAGTGAATCAAGAAGCAGGATGATCAGATCAAAGGGGGAGAGAAAGAGGGCACAGTGCTAGGGGATTTAAAAGGAGATGTGACATAGTTGCCTTGAAGAGTGTGAGGATATAACTAGCGGGGAGGGAAATGTAGGCTGGCCAGGCCACATTTGGGATTGACTTTGAAGTTTGTGGTCATACATTTGAATGTGACCTACAGTGTTTTCTTCTAGCTGCTTGAATACAGGTACAGAGTAGACACAATCCAATTTTCCAGGATGGGAGTTCTTGATACATAAGAGTCTCCAGTGAAACTTCAAATATAAATATAGCACAATTCTTTTTCTTTTCCTACAGAATAAATGTCTTTCCCCATATGCTGTGTATGAGCTACACTCTGCACATGGTTGGATCCCAACTATAATGGATTATAGATGGAAAAAATCTCACCTCCCTTCAGTGTGGGGATAGCGTGCTCTTAGTTCATTAGGGGAACAGAGTGCCCTTTGGTTTGTTTCCTGGTGTGTTGATACCTTGGTTTAAATCTCTGCATTAAACCCCACCTTTAGTATTTACTGTGTTATTTATTTTCCTCTAGAAACGTAAATCCATATTGGAATTTTATCAAGAACTTGGATTGCCACCAAAACAGAAAATTAAAATCTTTCGTGTAACAGATAATGCTGTAATTAAGCCAGGTAATCTGAAGTTGGGGGGAAGGGGTAAAAATACCTAAATCTGTGGTTTGTTTAATGTCAGTCTTTTTAATAAAGCTGAATCCACAGTACAAAGTCCCAACCATTTGTTTTTAAATATAAAAACGTATCTATTTTAATCACTAGGGATAAACAAGTCTTTTTTTCTTTTCTTTTTTTTCCTTCAGTGAAAAGAATTTTAGAGAACTCTGTTTTCCTTGAAAGAGGGAAGAATGCTTTTGTTTTTAATGTATAGAGAGTTTTACATTTGGAAAAGTCTCTCACAGTAAATACATCCACTCTTAAAATGTGAAGTTTACTGTTTGTAGGCTTGCATTTTATTAAGTGGAGAATAGCTATACTCACTGAGAGAAGATTTTGAAAAAAATATAACCTAACCTGAAATTGGACAGTGATCAACCATAACACTTTGACTTAAAGATCATTATTTTAAAATTCCTAAGTATTTTTTTCTTTTCATGGAATGTCAAAAAGTGAGATTTGGCAATATGATTATTTGATTGGTTCATGTAATTAATAGAATTTGATGTCTTTAAACTCAGAAGAGCTCTCTGATCTCTTGAATTTGAGTTCTAACAAGCATACAGTAGAAGGATGTTTTAAGATTTTTTAATTTTAATATGTGAACTGAATTTTTTGAAGTAAAATACAATTGCAATGGACAATATTAATTGGAGTGACAGAAGGACAGCCCTGATATAAATTAGAATTAAAAGATGTTTTGAAGTGCAGGGTTTGCAATTAAATGGAATTAAGCTAACAAGTGTAAAACTTAAGTCCATATTAAGTTTTGCTGTAGCTCAGACCATGTGAAATTGTTGGTTTTATAGATGAAAAGTAGTCAGTTGTCGGCAGTTCAGGTCAGTTAACCTCATAGAAATTCAGTAATTTTTTTATCTTTTTTCATTTTTTAAAAAATTTATTTTTCAATTATATTTATATTCAATATTATTTTATACTAGTTTCAGGTGTACAACATAGTGGTTAGACAGTCATATACTTTACAAAGTGACTCCTCAATATTTCAAGTACTCTCCTGGTACCATACATAGTTACAATATTTTTAATTATATTCTCTATGTATTTTACATCCCCATGACTGTTTTGAGTCCACCAATTTGTACTTCTAATCCCTTCACCTTTTTCACCTAGACCTCCAACCCCCTTTTCCTCTAGCAACCATCATTTTGCTTTCTGCAACTTGAGTCTGTTTTCTATTTTGTTTATTTTGTTCTTTAGATTCCACATCTAAGTGAAATCATTTGGTATTTGTCTTTTCCTAACTCATTTCATTTCACATACTGTAGTATCCTTTAGGTCCATCTATGCTATTGCAAATTCCCCTATTGTTTCTTAATTGAAGGATTTTCCCCGCTTGTCCAAATCCAGACTAGGCACTACCTTAAAGGATACTACCCTCTGGAATACTGCAACCCTTTATTCCTTGTTATAAACAAGCAAAACAAAAATTATCTTCCCATACATTCATTCTCTACCACATTGGCTCCAGCTTTTTAAAATTACTTAATTAAAAACTTTTTTTTTCCCGTTTTACCTATATACTATATTAGTTGTATTAGTTTCAGATGTACAATATAGTGATACAATATTTGTATGCCTTACAATGTGATTACCCCACTAATTCTAGTAATCATCTGTTACTGTTCAAACTTACCACAATGTTATAGATTATATTTCCTTTTTCCTTTTTCACATATCTCCACCCTCTTCTTCCTCAGTGTCATCCCTTTGGTCTCTGTTTCTATGAGCCTGTTTTTGTTTTATTTGTTCATCTGTTTCTTTTATAGATTCCACACGTAAGCGAAACCATGTGGTATTTGTCTTTGCCTAATTTACTTCACTTGGCATAATATCTTATAGACCAGAGGGGGGAACCTTTTTTCTGCCAAGGGCCATTTGGATATTTATAACATCATTCACGGGCCATACAGAATTATCAACTTAAAAAATGAGCCTACTATATTTGATCCAATATTTAACTCACCTCTAATGCCTTGGCAGTGCCAACCCAAATGATTTCACAAGCCGTATATGGCGTTCGGGCTGAATGTTCCCCACCCCTGCTCTAGACTCATTCATGTTGTTGCAAATGGCTGGATAATATTCTATTGTGTATATATACCAGATGTGTGTGTATGTGTGTGTGTGTGTGTGTGTGTGTGTGTGTGTGTGTGTGTGTGTGTGTGTTGTGTGTACTTCATTTATCTATCGATGGACACCTAGCTGCTTTCGTATCTTGGCTATTGTAAATAATGCTGGAATGTACAGAGGGATGCATATACCCTTTTGAATTATTGTTTTTATTTTCTTTTGATAAATATCCAGAGTGGAATTGCTGGGTGGTATGGCGTATCTATCTTTAGTTTTTGACTGAATCTTCATACTGTTTTCCATAGTGTCTCAACCAATTTGCAGTCCCACCAACTGTGTTCAGGGTTCTTTTTTCTCCACATCCTCATCAACACTTATTTGTTGCATAGCCATCCTGACTGACATGAGGTGGTATCTTATTGTGGTTTTGATTTACATTTCCCTGATGTACAGAGGTTGAGCATCTTTTCATGACTGTTGGCCAACTGTGTATCTTCTTTGGAGAAGTATCTTTTTATGTCCTCTTATTTGATGATGTAATGTTGATTTATCACTTAGATAATACATTCTTTATAAAATTTAATTTATTGGGGTGAAACTGGTTAACAAAATTATACAGTTACCAGGTGCACAATTCTATAACACATCAGTACACTATTGTGTGTTCACCATCCCAAGTCAAGTCTCCATCATTGAACCTCCCTCCATATGCTATTCCACCTCTCTCAATCCTTCCTTCGATAATAAATTCTTGAGATCAGGAGCCATGTCTTATACTTTTGTATTTCTTGCTTTGCATATTGTAAGTGCCCTATAAATATTTGGAGATAAAAGTGTTAATTCCAAATTTATATAAATAAAATATTGTGAAGGGCTTGGAGCTATAAGATACCATTAAATAACACATTTCTCAAGTGCATTTAAAATAAGATTTTATTTAAATACAATTAGTTTTGGAAATATTATTGTATAAAATTAGTAGTATTTATAGTAGCGGTTTTTTGCTAGTCCTGATATCGGGCATATTAGAGAATATCTATTTTATTGGAATAATGATCAGTCTACCAAGAATCTGATATATATGGGCTTTATTGGGATATTATACATACATGCCATAAATATTACCCAGAGAACAATGGACCTGTGTTCATTCAAATAATTGAAGTTTCTGTTTTGGATCATATATCTCCAGTGGGTAAAAACCGATTTGGTCTAGCCCCAACATTTTTTATCATTCTTTTTTTATTTTTATTTTTCTATGAAATAGGTAATGTACCTTAATTTAGTATATTGTTACTCGCCAAAATGACCAAGAATTATTCCTGTATTTGCCTGCAGGAAACACTGTGTTGTATAAGAATTGCCCACTTCAGCCAGCACTTCACTGACTGCTGTGAAAGCACACCGTCAGCCAGCGTGGTCTGTTGACTCGCTCTAGCACCACATCCCATGTAGTCAGTGTTGAATAATTTTATTATCTTATAATTGGTGTTTCTGCAATAATTATTATCGCAGAAGAGAATCTGCCGGTTTTGACATATGTTATCTACAAGGCTTCCTGGATGTAGTTAATGTTTACTGAAGTTATTTCTGGACAGACAGACTTAATACTGATATTTTGTTTTCTTTTTATAAAGGTACCCCTCTTTATGCTGCTCACTTTCGCCCAGGACAGTATGTGGATGTCACAGCCAAAACGTAAGTGCATATAATGGTTCTCTTTTCCTTTTGTTTTCTTCAGTCTATTAAGAAATAACAGAGCCCTATCTGGTTTGGCTCAAGGGATAGAGTGTCAGCCTGTGGACTAAAGGATCCCGGGTTCAATTCTGGCCAAGGGCACATGCCCAATTGTGAGCTCGATCCCCAGGAGGGGCGTGCAGGAGGCAGCTGATCAATGATGTTTCTATCTCTCTTCCCCTTCCTTCGTCTCTGAAATCATTAAAGAAATATATTTTAAAAAATAAAATAACAGAGTAAGTGAAAGAAATACAGCTTTTCAAGGTTGTAAATAAAGGATAAGTAACCATTCTCATTCATAATTCTAATCTTTCAATGTTGCTGACTATACTGGTTTTTAAATTTCATTGAATTAGTTGTATGTGAAGAGTACACATCAGGTTACAGCTTTTAAACTCAGATGTATGCTTCTTGAAATGGGTTTAAGGGAAAGGTCACATTCCTTGGGTTCTTTGTGGGCTGGGCCTACTTCTGTTTTTTGAATACCAAAAGTTCTGTGCAGTTTGATGGTGAAATACACCTGAGTGGTGCTATGGAGTTCTTTTGTGTAGTCTAGTAACTGGTGCTTCTTTCCAATTCTAGGAAATAGATTGGAAACATTTTATAGCATCTGTGATACTGGTTGTTGTACTTAAGGTTCTCCTTAGATAACTATAAAACATTTTTGTAACTTAAACAGCCTATTAGAACGTCTCTCAGTAGTAGATAAGTAGTAGATAACTTGTTCCATAAAAGCAAAAGTTTTAATACTTAAACAAGGGTTTGTTTAATTTGGTACAAATCAACACTGCATTGTCATTCTAACAGAAATGGTGACTTTTGGACTGGGCAGTGGTATTTTTGGCACTGCAGTTTTTGCCATTTTACCATCTATCAGATGGCTTAAGTTCAGTATTGGCTAGATGATCTCCAGGAAACATTTAAAGTTTAGAGGAGTAATTTTTCAAAAATTAATTGAGTTACCTCACTATAGAATGAAATAATTGTGTTTATGTAGAAATTGTTCAATATAAATTATTAGAATTTACGTGACCTAGGCTAAACAAAACTCCAAATATCAGCTCTTGTCCATTCCTGTTTCTTGTTCTGTCAACACAGGATAATTTACTTCATGTACCTCAGTTTTCTTTTTATCATCTGACAAGGTCTGCAGCCTGTGTTCCAGGAATATTCCGACTAAGAACCCTTTATTGTTGTTGACAGTATTACAGATATCCTCCACTCCACCCAGTCCCCCCTCCCAGGCCTTCACTGCACTATTGTCTATGCCGACTAGGAACTCTTTAAAAGTGAACAGTGGTCCACAGGTGCTCTGTGATGGTGTTAAGATCACAGTGACTGAGCCAAAGTGGCTTTTATCAAAGGAAATCAGATGAATGTCAGCACCAGTTTCCTTAACAGTCAGTTAGGTACATCTTCCTTTTCACACTGTGATTGCCTACTTTCCAATGTGAGCATTGCAAACAGCTGCAAGGTGCTTTACCTTTGGTGAGCTGTTTAGAAATGGAGTGGTCGATATTGGCAGTAGAGTGAGTCCTCTTTTTAGAGAGATTATGACTCTTTCCTTGTTTTTCACTTCTCCTTGATTGTTGTGAACTTACACTAACTTACTGGGGCCTCTAAAATCACTGGTTGCTTGGTAACTTTGTGTATTCTGCCTTCTTTTGTCAAGAACTCAAATATTGGAACTATAAAGCTTTGGTTTGGCTAGTTGGGAGATGAGTGTTTTCTGAATTAGATTTTTTTTTTTCCTTTTTTGAATTACATATAATAAAGTACCTCACAGTGATTCTCTAAATATAAACACAGTTAATGGTGTGTGAATTCCAATACGTACTTTACAGTATAATATGGGATGTTTGAGAAGCCCTGTGAAATCAGAGACCTTTGCTAGATGATGCCTATGACAGGATTTGTGACTAGCAAATAGTGTACCTTTTCAGGTGCCTCTGTTCAGTAAGTGCTTTCATTTCATATGCTACTACTGTTGGGTTTCCTGCCTTCTTAAAAGTTATTTTAAAAACTTCAGTCTTCTTGTGAGTGTAAAGTGAAGGAGGAAGTTTGTTTTGTTCTGTGTTTTAAGACCATATTCCTAGCCCAGCCAATGTGGTCAGTGGTTGAGTGTCCGCCCAGGCACCAAGAGGTCATCAGTTTGATTCCCAATCAGGGCACATACTCAGGTTGCAAGCTAGATACCCAGCATGGGGCATGCAGAAGGCAACTGATGGATGTTGATGCTTCGATTTTTCTCTCTTTCTCCCCCACTTCCCTTCTTCTCTCTCCAATCAATAAAAAAAAAAAAATGTTTTTTTCAAAGATCATATACCTAGTAACAAGATTATGTAAAGCCTTGTGCCAGCCTCAGAACTAGGAAGCTGATAACAGCTGGAAGGATAGCTAGCCCTGCGATTGATTGATTTTTAAATATATTTTTATTGATTTCAGAGAGGAAGGGAGGAGAGAGAGATGAAAACATTAATGGTGAGAACCATTGGTCAGCTGCCTCTTGCAAGCCCCACACAGGGGATTGAGCCCGAAACCCAGGAATGTGCCCTTGACCAGAATAGACTCTGGGACCCCTCAGTCTGCAGGCTGATGCTCTATCACTGAACCACCTGGCTGGGGCATAGCTCTGGGATTTAAAGTAGCTGACATTTACCTGTATTTTCCGGCATATAAGACAACCCCCTAATTTTACAGTTAAAATATAGGTTTAGGCCTATATTCGCTGTATAAGACTACTCCCCACTTCAAAGAAAAGACTTACTTTGCCGTCAAGATCTGCAGGTAATTTTTGTGCAATTTTGGTCTTTTGCCCCCGATTTTCGGTTGACTTTTTTTCATTTCAAATGTCGTCTTATACGCCGGAAAATACGGCAACTCTGAAGAAGGGAAAACCTTCATTTGAGAAGATCCTCACAATTGTATGGGCAGCAATACAGTATTCTGTTTGACTTTCACTGTGTAACTGTTGGGAGGAGGATCACTCCCATTTTTGTGTGCACTGCACTTGGGTGGCATACCTTTCTGTGTGATATTGCTTGAAATTAGAATGCAATGCACTTTATTTGACCTTTCGCTGAGTGTTTTTGATGACTCGAGCTCTTGTAGCTGACATGTTATTACAATCTCAAGATGCTTGTGAGTGCTTGTAAGTTTGTAGGACTCTGTCCTCCTTATGTGGAGCTGTTTTGAATTCCTTCTGGGTACAGCATTGGATCCTCAGCTGTATACAGTTGTAGGTGCTATTGTGGGGTGGGTGTAGGTGTGTATACATTTGCTTGCTTTTATTTTTCCTTTAGAAATCCTATATCCTTTCTCTGATGCGACTCATTTTTTGGACAGTTTCCTTGGCTTGGAAACTAAGTCCTCACAGGCAATGAGAATTTTTTTTCTTGTTGACTATAAATGGGACCATCTTTTGGGAGTAGACTCTGGGTCCTCAGTCCATTACTGTGGTGCACTACTGCCAGAGATTAACTACCTCGTCCTCCATTTCCAGCCCCTGTTTTAAAATTTTGTAGCTTCTGGACTCCATCTTCTAATTATTAACCTGTTACAATTAAAGAAACTAGAGAAAACTTGTGTATAGTGACATTGTTAGGTAAGATGATGAAGGTCATGGACTTACTGACTGGAGCAATGGTTCTCACACTTGAGTGGGCCTCAAAATCTCTAGGAGGGCTTGTTAAACACAGATTACAGATTCTAGTAGATCTGGGGTAGTACCTAAGATTATGCATTTCTAAAAAGTTTCCAGGTTATGTGAATGCTGCTAGTCCAGGGACCACTCTTTTGCAAATCACGAGACTATAGAATAGTCAAGGGTTCACCCGGTATTGAGCCCCTAACTCAGCAAAGAATCCTAGTACCTCCCTTTACACTACTCAGATTATAACATATAAACATTGGTTTTAAAGCAAACAAGTTTAATCAATCCAATTTCAAATAACATTGTCAATAAAACAGGGCCTCATTATTACATTTTAATTAACATGAAACAAAAAATTGATCTCTAGTAATTGGCTTCATTATCTTCTTTACATTAGAAAAGAGAAAAACTTCAAATCTTCAGATTAATCTCTAATTGAATCATTTTTCTCATGTTGTAATTATATTTAATTATAAAATTTATATCTTTATTTTGAGTATTTCAAGTCCTCTTTACCTTTACTTTTAATTGCTGTATCAAACATACTTTATAAATAACTAAGAAAATTTAAAACAAAATACTGTCTAAGAAAATAGTGTTAAAGAATCCATCTACTTCAAGATTAAAATTTCCTGCAAACATAGCAGCCTCTTCTTAAAGACTTCCTTAACATTTTAAATGTTCTTAATATTTATCTAAAAGGTCTAAGAATAAAAATTAATTTAGGTTATATGAGAAAGATTTTTTTCTGTCAAAAAAATATATATATACGTGTGTGTGTGTGTGTGTGTGTATATATATATATATATATATATATATATATATATATATATATATATGAAACCATTCTAGCAAATTCACAATTTTATTATACTACTAACAATTAAGCACAGTCTTTGCAATATAGGTTTAATAATTCATTCAGAATAAACCTTTGAGATAGCATAATGATATGTTTCCTATGTCACCACCAGCAACCTCCCCTTCAAGCCACCCTCCTGCCCCATTTAAAGTTTATATTCTTATTCTGTAATGGTGATAATATTGCAGTGTAACTTCTATTAGATGATGGTTTGGGGTCTAATGTTTTCTCTTTTTTTCTCTCAATAGTGAGGAAGAAACCACTATAGATAATATTTAAATACTGGGACTGATGATTCCATGCTCAACACAGAATGTTTATTAGCCCATGGTTTTCTGTTGAATCATAGAGGTGCTCATAATTTGTAGGTGTGTGTGTGTTTTTTTAAAGAAAGAAATCGAGAAAGAATGAAAAAAAGTAAACAAAAGGAAAACTGTAAAAATGCAT